AAAAGAAAAAGGAAGAGTAAATTAGCGTTTTATAATGAGAAGATTAAACATCCACCGAGTAAAAGTGTGATACGTGGAGATCATGGGTTGGTGTGATGAAGAGGTGGCGAGAAGTTGATATAGGTAATAGGCGTGATTTAAAAACAATCATTACTTATAACTGCACCACGCTGTGAAGTGACTCTGGGCGGTTAAGGAACTCAAAAGGTGCTATGATTGATGTGACTGGAGTCAAAGGCATTAAATGTTATGATGATTCGAAAATCCTATCAAAATCTTGTATACATGTTTAAAATAGGTATTTCTCAAAGAGATCGAAATACATATTTTAAAGGGGCAATTTGTTGGCTGAAGATTTTGATAATGTTATCTAGAATTCAAAAGAGTTAAAAGTTCTGATCGAAATGTTATTGAACACCATATTTCGAAGTTGCAGAAGCAGTGTTTCGAATGAGTGTGTCAAAGCTTGAAGCTTCGAACGGTGATCATGGAAAATATCCAAAGGGGTCTCGAAACAACAGCGAGGCTAGGTTTGGGAAGAGCGTTCGAAACGGAAGAACACTAAAGCATTTAAAATTCAAATAGAAGCGGGACTTTCAAAGTTTGAAAGTTTTGTGTTGGAGCATTTGGGGACACGTGGAAAGATGAAAGAAGCATTGTCTTGCATGTTCGAAACGTGGCATGATCCTATAGCGAGACCGTTAGGGTCGAATTAGTATAAATAGAAGTCTTAGTATTAGGATTTCAGTGTGTCATATCTGTTATACAAAATACTCAATAACATTCAAACTACCACATGGCAAGGGAAACGAATGCAAGAGAGATGTATGTATGATAGCACCATGTATTTCTAATTTAATGAAAGCCTTTTTACCATTTCCAGTACTTTCCTCTTTTCTTTTTATCGAATAACATTTACAAGTTTCTTTATTTATTGTCTTTTCATTTCAAAGTCTTTTCCTCAAAGTTTTACTCTTTAATGCTTTCTTTATATTTCGAGCACTTTATATTTCAGAGAACTGTTACGCTTTCAATACCTTTACTTCCAAGTATTGTTTTTCAAACGCATCCTTTTACTTAAAATTGCATTAAACGCTTTCTTCACATTTTAAACTTCTACATTCCAGAAACCTTTTATGTTAAATCGAAACCATTTACTTCATTTTTCATACAGTTTTATATGTCTCTTCAATCAGCATTACAATTAGCATTTATTCGTATAACTTAGTTTTCATATACATTTTGACCACATTTTTAAACTCTTAGAGAGAAGGATCGAAATAAACCAAACACTTGTACAATAGCAACCATGAATAATTGTTCGATTGTGAGAGTAACTTTAATATCCAAGGAGTCCTAGGATCAATCTAGTCGATCCTGTGAGTTACCAAAGAGATTGAGTAACGTTAATAAAGATTATTCGATAGTTTGGAAGACTAGCGGTTGTTTACCAGAAATCACTGGAAACAGCAGCGCATGAGGGTGTAGTTTTGTGGCTGGAAGAAAAATTAAAAAACGTTGGGGTGTGGATATAACAGGCTCGAAGCGCAGGAGATCACGTGAATGACCCAATGTAATTATGAGGAACGTTGAGATTGTGTGTGTACGGGCGTAGGGAGGTTCGATGGGGACGCGAGGTTTTGGATCATCTAGTCGAGATCGTGTGGCTGGAGACCGAGGGAGTATTGTAACACTTGCGAGCGTGTGCGTACGAGATTATCAGGCACGACATATTTTCATTTTACAAAACATATTTCATTTTCTATTCTCTCTCTCTCTCTCTCTCTCTCTCTCTCTCTCTCTCTCTCTCTCTCTCTCTTCCTGTCTCTATCCTTTGAATGCTCCCTTATCTCTCTCTCTCTCTCTCTCTCTCTCTCTCTCTCTCTCTCTCTCTCTCTCTCTCTCTCTCTCTCTCTCTCTCTCTCTCTCTCTCTCGTTTCAACACTTCAAACCCTAAATCTTCCTCCAGGCGGAGATCAAAACCTCCAAACCCCATGATCAAAACCCTACCCCCTCGATCTAACCCATAAAACCCCCATTTTCAATATCGATTAGAAAACAACACAAGAACAAAAGTTAAGTTTTTTCGTTACCCTCTTCACGAATCTGTTTACCCCTCTTAATTTCCGTTTGATCGTTAGCCCCCCTTTTTTATCTTTCACATACAGGAGCAACGATGGAGAATGGGAGCGGCATCTCGAGGCTAGCGGTGGTGGTTGAGCTTCACTGACTTTCTTCCCTCCCTCTATCAACTTTTTTTCTCTAAATTTTTCGTCCGTAATTTCTCCTCCGTAAAATTCTATTTCCCTGTAAACCCTTTCTTTTCGTCCCCTCTTTTTTATGTTCTTAGTTCAGGTTTATATAGAAAATTAGGTTTAGATGGATTAGAAAATAAAATTATGTCCACTATTCTAGTTGATTGTAATTTGATCTTGTTGTAAATATATTGATTATGTTCTGTTTTCGTTTGATACGTTTTTGTATTGGGTTCATTCAGTTTTGGAAAAGAAATGAATGTAAGATATAATAATTTTATGTATTGATTATGTTATACAACATGTTGAGATTTGGTTTAGTCTGTAAAATATCCAGATGATTAATGCGATATCCAGATGGAAATAAAAAAAATCAGAAACTAGTAGGCAAATTTGGGGTATGACAGTTGCCCCTATTTAATTGTTTTTCGATTGGATGGTGCGAGAATATGAAGGTCTCACACGTTCTGATCAGAAATTTATTAATATTGGAAGACCCCAAAATTTGTCTGAAAGATTATAAAGATACGATGTACAGCGTTCCCGTGGGTATGAAGAGTAGGCATAAATGATGATGTATCATCTTACCAGCGTTTGAACCAAAGTTGATTTGATTTAGACATGACAACGCAAATGATTTGTCAGTATCTAAAAGAGATTGCTTGCATATTTATCATAACCTAGGAGGTAAAATAATACAAGTTCGAAAGTTGACTTACTAATGCTTGGGGACTAATATAGTAAATTTTTGTTTGATTTGATTTTGTTTATTCATCACAACTTAGGGGATGGATAAAACAAGGTCTGATGACACTCTACTGCATGGAGACTAATGCAATAGATTAAGCAGGTTTATTCACATATCTACCGCAACCTAGGGGATAAATATTTGAAAAAGAGCTTGATGACAACATTGCTGCATGGAGATTGACACAAAGGTTTATGTCGCAGAAAAAAAGCTTGATAACAACATTGCTGCATGGAGACTGATGAAAAGGTTTATGTCACAGAAAAAACTTGATAACAACGTTGTTGCACGGAGACTGATTCAATGAGTTATGTAACAAATTTCGCACATTGCTCCATGTAGTTTTGGGCAACGAGCTAGATCGCAGAAGAGGAAACATTATTGCCTTAAACCTGACGCAATGAGTTAAATTACGGATTTCACACATTATACATGAAGCATTAGACAATGAATTATATTTAAAAAAAAAACACATTACACATACTTAAAGTTTATAATAAACAACAAATAAAAAGAAAAAACCAACCTCTTAAATTAATTATTCCATCCTAGCCTAGCAATGACACCTTAAAAAGAAAAAAGACATGCCATATAACGGAGGGAAGCTTCCTGCTGGTTTCCTCCATACTACATTTGAATCATAGCGTGGCCTCAAAAGTTATCGCATTATTTTTCAGTCAAAAATGGAAGAAAAACAATTATAGCAAAATATTTTTTACTCCTATTCATGAATCATGTTTGAAAAAAAAGCCACGCGGCTACTCGACGCTGATTAGTTGTCATCAAAAGCAAAGTCGTAACTGATCAATGTTATTATCAAAATGTTTTTCTGTTTTTAATAATTTACTTTGTCGGTTACTTATTAAGCCATTAAATAAGTGCTTTAGACCAAAAATTAAATAAACAACCAAAAATGAATTATATATATATATAAAAGACCAATATAAATAAAAGCTACTTACGCCAGTAAAGTAATTATCTTTTTTGACCCAAAAAAAGTATTTATCTTTTATTAATTTTTTAAACAATAAAGTATATTTTAGTCGAAAAACAATCAAAGAATAAAGCTCATTTTTCACATCTCAAAGAATAATATTTTAAATTTAAAAGTAGTATATTGATAGTGTAAATAAATTTTAACATATATAATTTATCAAAAAATTTATATTTATAATATCATATCTTATAGAATTAAAATTATATTTTAATTAAATATATATTTTTTATTAGTTGAGAGTGTAAAAAAATTTTTTTTCTAATATGAAAAGTGAATTTAATAATATTTTAAAACAAATTATTCTATTCTATTTTATCAAATAAAAAAAGAATACTTTTACGAAGTGGGCCATGAGATATATTCGGAGTCCAATTGTTTATAGGCCCAAATTGAGCATCACCTTCCTATCCTCCCTATATAAATTCCCATCTCCTGCCATGCAATCTTCGCTCACTTCCACCTCTCACAAAAACACGTCTTCTGTTATCTGTTTGAAGCATTGATAATCTATAATACCAAAATAACCTATTTCATTTCTGCTGTACACACACCTATTCCATATTTTTCTCCACATCTGTCTCCTATTTTACCCATTCCACTTGACTCATTCTAAATCCATCTCACCTCACCATATTTGTCTCCCTCAAAAACAAACCAATTAATCCTCCTATTTTCTACCTCATTATATTTTTCACTAGATCTGCATGCTTTTCTTTCCCTTAGGTCCTTGAATATTTTCCTCTCCGTTCCGTTCCATTCCGCTCCGGGTTTCGTAACCTCTTTAGCTTCATCTTTCTTCTGAGAGATTGTTGCGGGGATTGATTTGGTTATAGAGAGTTTCTAGGGGAAGTTCTCCTTTTTCGATCCGATCTTTCACTGTCTTCTTTTGGGGGGGTCGCCGGGGCTTTTGCCTCGGCAGGTTTTAAAACCCCCACGTTCACAAACCTATATTCAAACAAACCCTAATTTTTTTTAACCTCATTTTTCTTTTACGGTAGATATGCCGGCTTTGGCTTGTTTTATCGATGCTACTGCTGCACTCCTGCCCCCTCCCGGATACCCTCTCGCCGGAGATTTCACTCTTCCGTTGCCGCTCACATTCTCCGCCGCGGCAGCAATAACCGACCATGCAGCCACCGCCGTTCAGGATTCCAATTCCGATTGGTCTCCTTCATTGTCCAACAAACTCTTCAGAATTGATGGCTGGGGCTTTCCTTACTTTGGTGTTAACGCTGCCGGTGACATCTCCGTTAGGCCTCATGGCTCGGCGACGATGTCTCACCAGGAGATTGATTTGCTCAAGGTTGTGAAAAAAGCGTCTGATCCAAAATGCTGTGGCGGACTCGGGTTGCAGCTTCCTCTTATTGTTCGGTTTCCTGACGTTTTGAAGGATCGTCTTGAGTCGATTCATGCGGCTTTTGACGGTGCGATTCAGTCGCAGGGGTATGAATCTCGTTACCAAGGTGTTTATCCTGTCAAGTGTAATCAGGATAGGTATGTGGTGGAGGACATTGTTGAATTTGGGTCGGCCTTTCGCTTCGGGTTAGAAGCTGGGTCAAAACCCGAATTGCTTCTGGCTATGAGCTGTTTGTGTAAAGGCAACAGAGATGCTTTTCTGGTTTGCAATGGTTTTAAGGACAGTGAATATATCTCTCTGGCTTTGATTGCGAGGAAGATGGCTTTGAACACTATTATTGTTCTTGAGCAAGAGGAAGAGCTTGATATGGTGGTTGAGATCAGCAAGAGGCTCAGCATTCGTCCTGTGATTGGTGTTCGCGCAAAGTTGAGGACCAAGCATTCTGGCCATTTTGGTGCAACTTCTGGTGATAAAGGTAAATTTGGTTTAACAACAATTCAGATTTTGCATGTGGTGAAGAAGCTTGAACAATCAGATATGCTTGATTGTCTCCAGTTGTTGCATTTTCATATTGGTTCTCAAATTCCCACAACTGAGTTGCTTGCTGATGGTGTTGGAGAAGCTTCACAGATCTATTGTGAATTGCTTCGTTTGGGTGCCCAGATGAAGGTTTTGGATATTGGGGGTGGTTTGGGAATAGATTACGATGGTTCGAAGTCCGGTGATTCTGATCTATCTGTTGCTTATGGTTTAGAGGAGTATGCTGCTGCTGTTGTTCATGCTGTGAAGTATGTGTGTGATCGTAGGAACGTGAAGCACCCTGTGATTTGCAGTGAGAGTGGTAGGGCCATTGTGTCTCATCATTCCATTTTGATTTTTGAGGCTATTGGTGCAAGTACAAACACTGCTCCTTCACTGTCTTCCATTGGATTGCAGTATTTAGCAGAAGGGCTCTCGGAGGAAGCACTTGCAGATTATCAGAACATATCTGCTGCTACCCTTCGTGGTGAATATGAAGCATGCTTGCTCTATACTGAACAATTCAAGAAACGATGTGTTGATCAATTCAAGCAAGGGACTTTAGCGATTGAACAGCTTGCTGCAGTGGATGGTCTGTGTGATTTGATAACGGAGACAATCGGGGCGAAGGATCCGGTTAAGAAGTACCATATGAATCTTTCTGTGTTCACCTCCATTCCTGATTTTTGGAGCATAGATCAGTTGTTTCCCATTGTCCCCATTCATCGTTTGGATGAGAAGCCAACTTCGAGGGGTGTTTTATCTGACTTGACTTGTGACAGTGATGGGAAGATTGACAAGTTCATCGGTGGTGAGTCAAGCTTGCCGCTTCATGAATTGGAAGGACACGGAGGATACTATCTGGGAATGTTCTTGGGTGGGGCTTATGAGGAGGCGCTTGGTGGGTTGCACAACTTGTTTGGTGGCCCTAGTGTAGTTAGGGTGTTACAGAGTGACGGTCCACACGGTTTTGCTGTTACGCGGGCAGTTGCTGGACCGTCTTGTGCAGATGTCCTTCGAGTGATGCAGCATGAGCCGCAGCTTATGTTTGAGACGCTTAAGCACCGTGCACTTGAGTTTTGTGGACAGCATGATGATGACAGTGTGGTGGATGCAGAGGGGCTGGAAAATAGTTTAGCTCAATCCTTTGATAACATGCCTTATCTGGTTTCATCCACAACCTGTTGCTTGAATGCTCTCACGAACAATGATGGTTTTTACTACTGTTCTGGTGATGATTTCAGTGCAGACACTGTTTCTGTTGCCACTTCAGTTGCTGGAGAAGATGAGAATTGGTCTTATTGATGTGTGCTTGTGTTTCAACTTTTCTAGATTTCCCTTTTCATTATGATGTTGTTGATTGTTGTCAAGGTGGTCTTTTTTTATCATTCTATTTTTCTTTTTGGTTTAGGTAAGAATGTATGAAGAAGCGGAACAGGGGCTTTATGTACCTTTGTTTGCAATTTCAACTTCTTAATGTTGATTTCTGTCTATCAGATTTCTAGTTTATTTTCTTTGTTGCCTTGATTTTTTCTGTGTTTAGAATAAACCATTCAACTCCTTGACATTGGTGTGATAAGAATAAACAATTCAACTTCATATTCTTTTTCCGGCCAAGTTAATTTTCTTTTCTTCTTTGGAGTATTTTGTGATTTGACAGTTTAATATTGTCCGATAATGAAGAACATATAGTATATTCCACTACATAATAGTACAATGAATTTTCTCTGATTTTTATTAGAAAAAAAGTTTATTTTTAAAATTTCATTGATTCAATAAATGTATCTGGACTATTTTAAATACGCAGACACATTGATTAATAAATTTATTGAGATTGTATCTAGATTATATTAATAATTTTAAATAATTAGAGTATTAGTAATTGTGAATCTTTGCTTAATTAATATAATCATGAAGCGTACTTTAGATTTTCCTTTGCATGCAGCCTTGATTCAAAACAAATGAGACATCTCAAAACATTTTATAAAAATATTTTATAAAATATTTTTCAAGTTAAATAATGGTTAAATAAGACTTCTATTTATTTTAATATAAACTTGAAACTATGGATTGTCTTATTTTAATATGAACCACTAAGTATATTTTTTTGTATTTAATTCAGTCAATAAGGTGAAAATACTAAACAATTTTTATTCTTTAAAAAAGTATTTTTTTTTTTGTTTAGAGTTTGTTTGATCGGTAAAGAAAAAATATGAGTAAAACTTTATAATAATAATTATTTGAATAAAAAATATAAAAATGTATATTTGTTATTATTTTAAAAGATAATTATAAATTTATTTTAAATTTAGTTTCTTTTATAATAGAAATCATGAAATAGTAGTAGTAATGAATGATATAGATTTAAGTCTTGCTTTTTTTATTTTCATACTTTCTTATTAATACGTATTTTCCAAAAAATATATATAAGAAAATAAGAGGAATTAAAAGAATTAGAAAATAAAAATATTTTAAAATTTGGTATGAGAGAAAAGGGAAAGAAATAATATAAAAATATGAGTATTTATAAAATAATATAAATTCCTATAAACATCAATTAAATATAAGTAAATTAATTAAATTAAATTAATTAAATTAAATAAGTTAAAATTAATATTTTATTACAATCAAAGAAAAATAACAAATTAACAAAATATAAAAAATAAAATATACTATGTATAAACATAAAAAATTAATAAAACACATTAATCATTGGTTACATCACATCTTACATTTCGAAGTTAGTGAATAGTAAATCACAAATAGACATTTGTTTACACTTATAAATAATTACATATCTACTGAAAATTAAAAGATAAGAGAATTCTCTTTATTTGACATTGTTAGAATCATTTTGTGGTATAATTAATTGTAAATTTTAATTTATAAAATAAATTGATGTTGCAAATGTGATTCATTTGAAGATGGTCAAATTTGACAGTAATAATGAACTAATGAAGTTTAACTTAATAAACTTTAATACTATAATAAAGTTTCAACTAATTTATATTTATAAAACTAATTTATAAATTAAAAAATATTATTCTATATAAATTATATTAAAGTATTTATCTTTAATCAATGTGAGACTTTAATTTCTTTCAACTTTGAGCACTAGTCCTAGTTCTAATATCATAAAATATTATTTCTATTTTAAACATGTGGTACTGGTACGAGACATATATTATGGGATTTAGATTTCAACTTTGAGCACCTAGTCCTAGTTCTAATATCATATAATATCATTTCTATTTTAACATGTGGTACTGGTATGAGACATATATTATGAGATTTAGATCCGTTTCAACCGCTTTGATTTTTCTCTAATGATTATAAAAACTGTATTTTTTGTTTCCGCTTCATTAGTCCGTGGAAGATCAAAACACCAAACATTAAGTTTTTAAGAAATAATGTGAAGGAATTAACATAAACTTATAATAATTAAATCCATTTGCAAAAAATGTGCACCATCGTGGTGAGTGGATATAGGAACCCGTTGACATTTTTAAATTATTTAGTAGAAAAATCTAATATTAATAATCAAATGACTCTTATATTATTGATTTCAACTTTTTATTAATATGTCAAGTCTATTGATTTTGATGCATCAAAATCCATCAAAATCAATCAAAATCAGAGATATCACATATTTAAATCTGATATAATCTAAATTGTAGTTCAAGTTTAAATTATTTAGAGATAGGGTATATATATATATATATATATATATATATATATATATATATATATATATATATATATATATATATATATATATATATATATATATATATATATATATATATATATATATATATATATATATATATATATATATATATATATATATATATATATATATATATATATATATATATATATATATATATATTCATTCTCTCTTATTTCTTCTTTTAATTAAGTGTCTCACATGTTAATAAATTGGTATTTAGAGCTTCCAGTTAGTTTCTTGATTGTGATTTCAAGAACTTCACGTTGATGATCGTGTTTCCATAGATCGTGATCGCAGTTGCTGCAGAGATGAATGGTACCAATGGTATTTCGAATTCTCATATAATTTTCGATGGCAAAAATTAGAACCGATGGAACAAGCATATGAAGTCTTTGTTCGGTTTTCATGAAATCCTAGAAGTGGTCAACAATGACGTCTCTGAGCTTTTTGACAATGCAACTGATGCTCAGAGAGTCATTCACAAGAATGTGAAGAAGAAAGATTGCAAGGCTACATATTGTATTCAATCTGCTGTAGATACGACGAACTTTGATCAGATTTCTTATGTTGAATTGACGAAGAAGGCATGAGATATTCTTGTCAAGTATTATGAAGGAGGTGATGAGGTTAAATTCGTTAAATTGTAGACATTACAAAGAAATAATGAATTACTGCATATGGAAGAAGAAGAAAAGATTGCAGACTATGTCTCAAAGGTGTAGAATATTATTCATCTCATGAAAGGTTGTGGAGAAACCCTAGCTGATAAGATGATAGTTGAGAAGGTAATGCATACGTTGACCTTTCACTTTGATCACTTTATCATAGCCATTTAAGAATCAAACAATCTTGAAATCATGAAACTGAAAGATTTAGTTGATTCGTCGGAGGCACATGAGATGATGATTTTTGAAAGGAAAGGTGTTCAATATTTGATATAAGCTTTGCAGGCCAAACATGGAAGAAGTGTGGTGGTCCCAACAAGTTCAAAGAAAAAGGAGACAAGACTATCACAAGATGTCTGGGATGAATCCTCAAAAGCATAAGGTCGATGATAGGTTCTCTAAATCTTCTAAAAAAGGAGAAGGAAACTCCTACGAGAAAAACAAAGAAGAGAAAAAATGTGTGTAATACTATAAATGTGAAAAGTGGGGTTATTTGACCAAGAATTATTGGTACAAGAATGACAAGGAAGCAAAAAAAGGCATGGAAGAATGAGTGAAACTTGCACATCAAGATTCACATGTTTATGAAGATATGGTGGTTATGGCTGCATTTGCAGATGAGCATGTAAACACCAAAATATGGTTTCCCGGCAGAGGTTACTCGAATCACATGACTGGTAGAAAAGTGTGGTTAATAGATTTCAATGAGTCGAAAAAGAGTAAGGTCAAACTTGCTGATAGTAGCTCGTTGCAAGCAGAAGGTACTGGCGTCACAATTATTCAAAGGAGAAATAGAGAAAATGCTATGATCAAATATGTACTATATGTACCTGGAATGAAGTGTAATATACTAAGTGTTAGACAACTGATCGAAAAAGGTTTCGCAATGGTTATGAAAGATGGAGCCTTAGAACTGTTCGACACTCAAAATAACATGGTCTAAAAATCTCCTCTGTCGAAGAATAGGACATTTAAGACCATGATCAGTTCAACTGAGGTACAATGTGTTGGAACAAGTTTGGTTATGCTACTATCCTTTAGTTTTGATGATAACAAAGTATGCAATGTATAAAGAATAATATTTTATGAATGAAGAAACAAGTGGATATAGTACAAAACCAACCATTTTCTCCACTACACTGCAAATAAAAAACGTACTACATTATTCATCATCCTCTCCATAACTTTCGCCCCACTACTATGATAGTCGTTAAAGAGAAGAAATTCCAACATCACCCTCCAACGGATCTATTCTTCATCATCTATATAAAGAGGTCTTGAATGATTGAAAAATTGACTAATTTGAAAAAAGAAAGAAAAGAATAAATTAGAATGAAAAATAGTCTGAAATAAATTCAGAGAAAAAATAATATCAAGAACAATAAAAAGAGAGAAACACTTAGAACTTTTTATTTCAAATTATTTAAGTGTCATGTTTTGATCTTCATTTTGTGTAATCTTCTTATTATAGAAGTAATTTTGTAAATACACAATCTTTATTTTTTTAACATCATTGTTAATTTCCTTGGGTGACAAAGTGTTAGTCAGATTACTCAAGAAGTCATCGACAAATTGTCTTTGATTTGTAATTCTTTGATAGAATATAGTATAGTCAGAATTCTCAAGAAGACTTTGAGTGCGGTCTTTGGGGTTGTAATCAAACTATTGATTAGTGGATTAATCCTTTTTTCAGAAGAAAAAATCACTTTGGCGGATGACCTGGACTAACTTAGTTAAAGGGGAAGCAGGATAAAATTACTTGTGTTTTTTTAGCATTGTTGTACTTGGGTTTTTCGTGTTTGGGTGAGCGAAGAAGTTTTTATTTTAGAAACCCAATTCAATTCCCCTTTCTTATGTTTCATTGAACCTTCAATTGGTTCAGAGCTCTGATTTTAGTATTGATTGAT